CGTGTTTGGTAAAACCTCTTTGCATACTAGAATATAATCTTCTTTTTAGAAGGATATGTGACATTTTCTTGTGAGTCTTTATTTTCAAGTCTAACAGTTACCTTCTTCTTTAGCGTTTCGTTTTCCTACAACTGTAAAGTTAGTGCGATATGAGCAAGAAATTATAGAAAAGTATTTACAAGTCCTAGAAGGATACTCCATCTTCTGTGATGGATCATGTTTACTCTTCCACTGTTTTTGTTTTTGCTAAAGCAAGTGGTCTTGATGATGCTTTTATAGAAGTTGATACGTCTTCTAATTGGAAGATCTTGAGTCCTTCTAAGGACGAAAGAATATGCGATAAGTATGGTGTTTGCGCCATTCTTTTTTATGAATGCATTTTTTCTATCATGGATCTTCATCTCCCCTTCGCTGCTTTTAAAATGAAGGTTCTTAAACATTTGGCCATGGCTCCTTTGCAACTTCATCTTACATGATGGGCTTACATGAAAGTCTACTAGTATTGGTGTGGACGCGTGAATGGAAAGCCTTGTGTGATCCTTTTTTTCATCTCTTCAAATATTATTGTGACCCTGCGACCTGAATTAGGGGTAGAGGATTACTCTACTTGGAATCGACTATCCATTGTTGTAGACCTCTTCCGGAGCTTCAATCTTCGAGGGTCAATTTTTTTGGTAACCCCCGTCGGTCCTAAAATCGTGTTGTAGTTTGTGACATCTGTGTGGAGTAGATGGCAGATGTGTCGATCTACTCTCCAAGTATTGGAACAATGGTTACTTTTGGCTGGGAAACCGTCTTTGTGTATATAATGAAAAAGATCTTCTTGATGAAGCTCAGTATTAGAAGGGTTAGTTAGTAAAGTTCCTCAACAATCAAGGATACACTAGAGGAGGTTTTCCTATAAAAGAGATAAAAAAGAAACTCTAGAAGCGTCTTATTTATGTCTGGTTTCTATTAAGAGATCATTCTAAAAAAAAAGATAAAAACCATTTTTGGTAAGATTTAAGTCCTTTAGGACTTTCGATATTTTTTATATGTAATTCTCTGATGTATTTGCTTTACTCATAATTGTATGTAAAATATATGGATAATCAAGAGAAGTTTCAGCTTCTAAGATAAGGAATACAACTGATAAGGAGTGATGTCGTTACGGAGGCCTTGCCGACTTTAACGAAAGTTTCGGGCTCGACTACCCGCCCCATATTGACAAAATTTAGCTCCTGCCCTACTGAGAGTTGTCGGCATCCTCATTTAGATGATGATTGTTGTAACATCCCCTAAATCCCTCCGTAATAATATGGCATAATCAGAGTAAATTATCATGCATATCAAAAGAGGGTGTCACATGTATTTTAAAACCAATACAAATACACCGGTCATACTCATAACACGCATTTAAAATCATATTTCATACACATATGCATGTCTTAACTAAATAATTCTCTTTTCAAAACAATATCAATAATTGATTCTCATAATAGAAATCATGTATTAAAACATTAGACACTAAAGGCCAATCATCACATAATCTCAATACACCATAATGTAAAAGAGAGTATAACAAAACATCTCTTATAAAAACATGAGCTTAAACGTTTTCCCGTGTTACATGACCATAATATGACTCACTACCTAAATACGGATGAACAAAGAACTAGCTTCTCCGAATAATCCTTGTGAGAAAGCACCACTACTCTTCGGTACCTGAGCGATGTCATATAAAAGTAATTACCACCATAATTACTTCATTAACCAACTAAAACCAGTTTTATCAAAGATTTTCAAGGACATATAAGTCATTACAATTTCTAATATTTAATTTAATTTAAAATTTCTTTTTACTTTATCTTAATCATTTATTCAACTACATTTAACTTATACACGTATAATACTTACAATTTTCAATGCATATATTCAAATAATTAATTTTGATATTCATTCCAATATTTTATGTCTCTTTGTATTCTAAATTTTTCGTGAATCTCAAAAGTTTAGTCTTCCATTCAATTAAATTTAAGCTTAGATCTTTCCATAATCCATTCATATACCATATTATTGGATCTTTCATTCTTTGGTTTCGTTTTTTACCCACTTATATAACAAAGTCCTTCCTTTTTCATTCATATAACAAAAATGTCTTCTTCATCTTCTGGAAAAAAATCATGTGGCCATGTCCTTCGTTCGCTTTCCCCTTCTGATATATTTTGTTCATATACACAATTTATAAATCCTTTCTCTACACCCTCATGAGCTTTTGCTTCTTCTATAAATATTTTTTCATCACTCAGCTTTACTCAGACACCCCAAACTCTTGTGTTGTCGATTTACGATTCTAGATTGATCCACGGTCTATCTAATTGAATTGTCCCATTTCAAATCATGTTATCACAATAAAAAATAAATGTTTAATTTCGGCTCAGAGAAAGATATGCATGTGTTCGCCAACAAATCATTCAAGTTGGTTCAGATGCAATCTCACGAAATCACTCTTTTCATAGTCTAAATTTTAATTTTCTTACCTTATCTATAAACATTTCTATCTTCTCCATTACAAAAGAACCAAATTTTACTTCTATTCAACACTAAACCATATTTTTATTTGCTATTCTCTTTCAGTTTTGTGTTATTATATGCCTATTTTTCAATTTTATATATGCACACCATGTGTTTACAAAATTCTGTTGTGGATTCTCATCAACATTAACATCACTTTAATATATTTCCATCTTGCAAGTTGGTTAAGCAATAAATATATGCTTCACTTTCATTTTTGTTGGGTGTTTTATCTTTAATTTACACAAGGAGAACTGATCGACTACATTTTTGTTAGTTTGTACTTACAAGAGGAAGATGAGTTGAATGAAAACTTGCATAGTTGTACAACAAAGGCGCAAAACTAAAGACGACATGCTCAAGAACATTGTTGCAAAAGGAGCAGGAAGAGTGTAAGAATCAAGATGGGTGTTTTCTTCAAAGTGGGTTATCATTTTGGTACTGAGATTGGTGTCCTTACAAGTTCCATGTTATTGCCTGAAATAGTAATGATGTGAAGTTATAATATCTAATAGTGTTACATTCAAACATTCAAGTAATATAAGGTTGTTGTTGGAAGATTTAAGATATTGAGATTCTTGATCTTAATGATGTTCATTCAAATAATATTATTTATTGTTTTAGTAGTAATGATGCACTATAAACTTAACTGTAATACTTTGTTTTAGTCTTATCTTATATATTTGCGAGTGTTGTATTTTTCCGTACATTGAGATGATCACTAACTTCTACGAAAACTCTATCATATTTCCCTTTCTCACACTAAATTACAAAATGACTATTTTTAAGTTTTCAAATATTTGTATAAAAAAGAGAACAATTATATATTGATTTCACTTTTTTATTTGAAAATCTTCAAAAATAATAAACAAAATGATTAAAAATGTAACACTTCTATAATTTTTAGTTAGAACAGAAAACAAAATAAAAATTCCAAACCAAACATGCTATTTCAACTGACCCAATCATTTTCTAGATAGATATAATATGAACAAAATCACTCGCCCGTACCGCTGATATGTACTTGAAATAGAATTGAAAAATAGCAGGAAAAGATATTAATCAACAATGTAAAAACATGGCAAACTGACATCTATTGTTATTATAATTGGAACTGATAGACTAGACTATATGAAAATTGACAACTTATCTAATAGGCACTTCACTCACAAAAGGTTCTAGCCAGTGGCAGATCTGGGGGACAGGAGAAGGCCACAACCAGCCATTTATTTAAAAAAATTATATACTGGAAAATACAAAATTATCCCTTATATAAAATCCTAATTTATTTTCTACCCTTATGTGAAATCAGGATTAGGATAGAAAACAAACACAAAACCAGAAGCTAAAAAACTTTCACACTTCCGCCTTTCTCATTCGCTGTCACCGTCGGAATCGAAATAGTGCTGCTGTCGGAATCGAAACTACTAAAAGTGATTTCTTGTATCTTTGATTCATCTAACAAGTAATACGTAAAAAACTTTATTCATTAATCATGGATTTTTCTTTTCTTCTTCTTAGATTGATTGTTTGCTGGATTTTTTGGGTGTTCTTCTTCCAAAAACTTATAATTCTTATCTTCTTCCAAAAACTTATAATTCTTATCTTCTTCCACAATGGGCATATATATGACTTCATGGTTCTTCTTCTTGTAATTTTCAAGTTATTAATAATGAAAATAATTAAATAGTGTAAACAATTAGTTATAATTAATGGTTGTAATGTGTATACAATATACACTATGTTAGTATACTCTTAGAATTAGTTGTAATGGTTATAATTTGTCTCATTTTGATTTAGATTTGATTTATAATTTTTTCTCAAGTAAACTACAAATGGACTCATTCAGTTTATAATTTTTTTCTCTTTTAATTTCTATGTTCTCTAAATTGATTTTTGGATTGATATTATAGAAAAACTAAAGATGAATAATAGAAAAATTGATTCTTTTTTCAAGCGAAAAACATGTGAAATTGAAAGAGAGGAGAGAGATGGAGAAATTATAATCCCTACAATTGAAGAGCATTGTGGTTTTTAGAATCCAACAATTGAAAAGTATCATGGTTTTGAAAATTCTTTGGAACACGATCCTGGAAAGCGTCCTCCAATTTGGTAATATCCACCAAATCAAGTGGATGCAATACAAAGAGCTTGTGTAAAATGGGGTCCATATCAAATTCATTTAGAAAGTTATATTTTGTATGGTAGAGATGATCATCCAATAAGGTTTCAACACACTTGGTTTAGCATATTTCCCTCATGGTTAGAATATTCACCATCCGAAGATGCTGCATATTGCTTATCATGTTAGCTATTTAGCAAAAAACCAAGTGGACGTCCCAGATCAAATGTCTTCATTTCTATGGATTTTAGAAGTTGGAAGAAAGTTAGGAATGGAAAACATTGTTCCTTTCTTAAACACATAGTGCTCACCACAGAACAATGCAATGAAAGCTTGTCAAGACTTGTTGAATCAAGATGGTCATATTCGAAATGTTATTCAAGTGCAAAGTTTGAGTCAAAGAATGAATAATCGGCTATGTCTCAAGACTTTAATTGACACTGTTCGTTGGTTGGTGCTTCAAGCTTGTACTTTTAGAGGTCACGATGAAACTAACAATTCAAAAAATCAAGGAAACTTTCTTGAGTTGTTAAAACTTTTAGCATCTTATAATGATGAAATTGCAAAAGTTGTGTTGGAAAATGCTCCACAAAATTACAAGTATACTTCATATCAAATTCAAAAAGAGATCTTGCAAATTCTTTCTAGTAGGGTGAAAAAGCATATTCGTGAGAAAATTGGTAATTCCAAATTTTGTATTATTGTCGATGAAGCTCGTGACGAGTCAAAAAAGAAACAAATGACTCTTGTATTAAAATTTGTTGATAAAGGTGGTTTAATACAAGAGAGATTTTTTGATGTGGCACATGTTAAATACACCACATATTTAACTTTAAGGAAGCAATATGTGATATACTTTCTCGATATAACCTTGATGTTTCTAACATCCGCGACCAAGAGTATGATGGTGCTAGCAATATGAGAGGAGAATGAAATGGTTTACAAACACTCTTTATGAAGGATTTCCCTTATGCATACTATGTTCATTATTTTGCTCATTGATTGCAACTTGCGTTGGTTACATCATCAAGAGAGGTAAAAACAATTAATCAATGCTTTGATAAGTTAATTTTTGTTGTAAATATTGTTTGCTCCACTACAAAGCGTCATGATGAGTTACAAGCTGCCCAATTAGAAGAAATTTCATATTTGTTAGAAATTGATGAGATTGTAAGTGGTAAAGGTGAAAATTAAGTTGGTACTTTGAAACGAGCGGGAGATACTCGTTGGGGATCATATTATAATTCTATTTGTAGCTTGATAAACATGTATGAAGCAACTTGTTCAGTTTTAAAAAAATTGCGAATGAAAGAGGAGATTATGATACACGTGGGGATGCTGACAATTGTTATAATTACTTGAAGGCATTTGATTTTATATTTATTTTGCACTTGATGAAAGAAATTATGGGGATAACATATATGCTTTGTCAAGCCTTACAAAAACAAAAACAGGATGTAGTTAGTATTATGCATTTGGTTCGTTCAACAAAGAGTTTTATTCAAGAATTTAGAGAAAATGGTTGGGATATATTGTTTACTAAAGTGATATCATTTTGTTAAAAATATGGTGTTGAGATTCCTGATCTTAATGATGTTCATTCAACAACAAGATTTGGACGCTCCCGTCTTGAAGAAAATCGAGTCACAATTCAATATTTCTTTAAAGTTGAAATCTTTTTCACTACGATTGACAAACAGTTACAAGAGTTGAATAAAAGATTTAGTGAAGCAATGGATTTGTTAACCATTTCTTGTGCTTTGTCTCCTAAGGATGGATATAAAGCTTTTAACATTGATACTATTTGTTCTTTAGTTGAAAAATGTTATCCTATGGATTTTAGTGATTAAGAGAAGAATAATTTGCAATTTCAACTCCAACATTTTCTTTTTCTTGCTCGTCAAGCATTAAACTTGAATAACTTATCAACTATTCAAGAACTATGTTCATGTTTGGTTGCATCTGGAGAGGCTAAAACTTATTTTTTGATTGATAGACTACTTCGTCTTATCATGACTTTTCTTGTTTCTACGACAACAACTGAGAGATCTTTTTCAGCAATGAAAATTATCAAGACTAAGTTGAGAAATAAGATGGATGATGGATTTCTAGCGTGACCGTATATATTAAAAGGGAAATTAGTGCAAACATTAATTATAAAAGTATTATTTTAAGATACTTTTAAGTCATATAATTTATTTTTTTGATAATTAACTTTAAATATTTTTTAACTTTAATATTTTATTTAAAATTTTATTTATATTTTATTCATAATATTTATTTTACGTTAGCGTCCATCCCAAAATTTTTTATCGAGCTGCCAACTCGTTCTAGCTTCAATTTAATATTCATGTGGGCTTTTTAATAGTCACTAGCTTCACTTTTATTACATCATTTCATCTTCAGCGTGTATCACATTGATTAATATGACTTTTTGCAATGTGATACACAAGAATTTTTATTTTCCATCTCGAAGCTTTAGCTTTAGTGTGTATCACAAATTTTTTTATTGATTAAACTTCCTTAGTAAGGATTAATATATTAGTGAAGAATTGTAAATGTTTTTAAACTTTCTATGTGATTATGTATCATTGATAGCTTTTAAAAATTTGGTAAAATTTTTGTCTTTTTTTTTTTTTGCCATGGAAAATCAATTTAGAATGTCATCTATGTGTTTCCCATTTGTTATAGTATTTTCATTCAATGTGATTCTATTATGAAATAGAAAATATATCATGATAAGTGACATATGAAGTGTTTTATATACAAAACATTTTGATGTGAATATGCAATTATATCATTATTTTGTTTGCCTATTATATTTCCCCCCCTAATATATTACTATATATTAATACTACTTTTTATATTATTTGAGATTATTAAAAATCAGAAATCAAAAAACAGTAAAATATTTAATTTAAACGGTTTGCAGATTTTGGATTTTACTGGCTTGATTTGTATATTTGTTATTTAATATTAAAATATTAAATATAAATTAAATTAAAAATAGTTTAAATTAATATATAATACAAATTATTATAATATTAATTAATATATACCTATAAAAGATGAAAATATTTAGGATAATAATACTAAAAATATAATGGGTATGAATTAAGAAATTAAACTTTAATATACGATAAATATTATATACAATATAAAACTAAATGTAATATAAAAATGAAATTATTGTACAATTGTTAGATATGATTTAAAAAATAATTTTTATGACATTTATTTTATGGTTTAAATATTTTTAATAAAGATAAGAGAAAGATGTTAAAATCATAACTTTTTGCAGAAAATTAGTGTGACATTTAGTTTCAATCTCATGAATAGAAATATCATATTTATAATTATTTTTTCTATATAGCACATAAAAAATAATTAATTAAATAATAAGCATGTTCTTAATTAACTAAATATCACTCAATAAAACTTTTTTAACTACGTATTCATTTCGTCCCTTGAACATCTTATTTTTTTAATCTCCTCATCATTCCTTTTTCTTTTACAAACAATAAAATCAAATCAATTAATGTATTGGATTTTTTAATAGAAAGTTATTAAAAATATAATAACTATTATTTATTATAAATCAATTAAAAATAAATTTTTAGAAACGTGATTGTAGGATAACATTTTTCTTACCATGGAAATTAATTAAAAAAGTGGATTAATTGGAAACGTGGATATTATATTTTTTTTAATGGAAAATCAAACAAAACGTTAAATACAAAATAAATATTTTTTATTTTACTTTTAAAAAAATGAAAAATAATTTACATTTATAATTAATAATTAATTGGATTCTGAAAAATTACAAAATTATTTTAAAAACATATGTTGATAGTTTTACAATTGTTTAAAACTATTTTCCAGTATTAATATATATTTATTAAACTTTTTTTAATTATCATAATAAGTTAAAGTATTTTTATAAGCGGAAAAAAAATTAATTGTTGATACAATTATTTTTATAAATGAGAATAAGTTACAAATTTTTTTATAAATTAGAAAATGACTATTGTTGATACAAATATTTTTATAAACGAGAATAAATTATAAATATTTTTATATACGGGAATAAGTCAACTGTTGATACAAATATTTTTATAAACAAAAAATAAGTCACAAATATTTTTATAAACATGAAAAGATCAACCATTGATACTAATATTTTTATAAATGAAAATAAGTTACAAATATTTTTTTAAATGGGAAAAAATTACATTTTGATTCAATTATTTTTATAAACGAAAATAAATTATAAATATTTATTTACCTTTTATAACCATATTGCACTATTCATGCGAATACATTGGTAGATAATTGATTTTATGAGAAAGTATAGTGATACTCTCTTTTCAACACTCTCAGAAACACTCACTTTTTATTGATTGAAACATGTGTGGATTTACCCCCTTTAATGTTGCACCCATTTCCAAAGTGTGAGATCCACGTATATTTCAACCAATAAGAAATTAAGTGTTTGAGAGAGTATTGAAAGTGTTGCTAGCATTTCTCTTGATTTTACATATGTGTATGTGTAAAGCGTACAACATCATATATTAATATACTTTCCAATGTAATTTCTATGTATATGCCGACAATTATTACAATATAATAAATTAAATTAAAATTTATATGACAATTATCATTTAAGACATTTTTTCTCTTAATTCATACATATATATATAGAGAATACTAAACAGTAAAAGCAGTAACTTGCACGGATCGCTTAAAGTCGATATAAATATTTTATAATTGTGATATATATATATATATATATATATATATATATATATATATATATATATATATATATATATATATATATATATATATATATATATATATATATATATATATATATATATATATATATATGACTTCTCATTTTTTATAATACTCAAAGGTTAAAATTATTTCTTATTGTAGTATTGATAATTTATTTATAATCACTACAAATATTTTTCCATCATATTTAAGTAATAAGAATTTTTTTTTTTGTTTATGCAGTATTTACTTACATACAAAAGAGATAGTAATGGACAAAGATATTGAAGTATTTATGGACAAATATGATAATGGGGGAGCTCAGAGTATGTTACAATGTCGAATTGTTTTGGAAGAAAGAAATCACAAAATCTTATAAGGGAGAAAAAATTGCATAGTGATAAATCATTCTAAGTATTTTTGAAAATTTTTATGATTTTTTTTTTCATTTTTTTTTGTAATTCATATTTATTGAACGACAACTGACAATATATTTTTTTTTTTGTAGAATATTCCAGCTGACATTGTTAATAAAGATTTTTGTGCTGATCATACCACTTTAACATTGATGGACATTGATGAAATGTAACTCCAAGATTATAAAATTCTCAAAGGGAAAATGTCACATATGAGATGTAACTTGGAAATGGTTGGTAAGCAGATGCAAATTCAAGAAACTTAAATATTGTAGATGTCTTAATTTTTCATTACCTATATGATTTTAATTTTACGTTAAGTATGTGAGAAACAACATAATAAAATATGTAATAAGTGATAACATCAATCTTTTAGTTTCAATTTTAATGTAATATAAGTTTAATCAATACCAATATTACATATTCTACTTTTCATAATATAAACAATATTATGCCACCCATACAAACACACGAGTCCTTTACTAATTAGTAAAATAAAATAATAGAAGGTCCTTTTCAGAATATTTTAAAACATTCGCTAAAAAATATACTTTTTATCAATTGAAAAAAACCTAAACAGAATTATTCTCCATTTTTAGAAGTTCAGCGCCAATAATGAACGGACACATGGCATTGTTAATTTTAAAATAAAAATAAAAATAAAAATAAAAATTAAAAAAAGAAAAGGAAAAAGCAAGAGAGAGTAATGTATTATCCAGCAAATATGAAAACAGAACGTGATACAAAGCTGCAGTATTACAACAGAACTGAAACGCGATTTGCTCATCCATAAGCGCTTTTGGAGAATCGATTTTCACAACCGGCTATGAAACGCGATTTTACTCTATTTCCTCCCTAATCTTACGCGACAACAATAACAACAGCGTTTGGATTCAAGGCTCACGCAAAACAGCACCAATCGTTCATTTCTTGCGGTTTCAGATTGTTTGAATTTGCGTTTGGATTCTTTTGGAATTTCGGTTTCGATTTAATTATGGCTATGCTACTGTTTGATTGTGGTTCTTAGATTTATACAAAAATTAGACGCAATTGACAATATATGAAGTTGCAGAATGCTTACCGGCTGAAGAAAAATGCAAACTATGGCCTCGCTCGCAAGGTATTTTATAAAATACCCCACCCGAATTTCTCCTCTTTTCTTCTGTTTCTGTTTTGATTTTCTGATGTTGTGAGGTTGCGAATTAGTGAAGAGTTGTTGACGCTGTTTACCATTTCAAACTTTGCACACCACATGTTTGATGAATCGCTTGAACTGGATTCTTTTGCTTTTTCTTGTTTTTGCTCCTTGACTTGTTGCTGAATTTTCTGTTGTTGTTGTTGTTGTTGTTGTTGTTGTTGACGTCGTTGTTGTTGTTGAATTGTTGTTTTTTTGTGAATTCTTGAAGGTGATGATGATTATGAAGTGGGAAGCTTTAATATGGTGATGATGGAAGTGTTTGAAGAAGTATCGAAGATTGAAAGAATGGTGCTTATGGGGAATCGAATATGAAGATGATAAAGATTGTGATGGAAGTGAAGATTATGGATGAAATGGTTTATGATGGAGATGAAGGTGAAGGAATGATTATGAAAAATTGAAGGAAGTATGGTGAAGATGAAGATTGGGTATGGAAGCTTGAATTTGTGAAGATGAAGATCAATATGGAAGCTTGAAACTTGAAAGCTAAAGAAGAAGGTTGATGTGCTCGAAGTGCCTTTAAACTCCTTCAGATAGATGAAGAATTCAACATTTTTGAAGGTATGCGTCTTCTACCTTGAAATCCTGTTTTTAATTGTTACAAGTTTGTTGAGCTTTCTTTTTGCCCTTCTTAACAGAGATATTGTTGCCCTTTGTCCTTGAATACATAAATTGAGAAATAATGAAAGGTTCTAGCAAGCCGTTTGTTCAGTTTATTGCTTATAGTTTCAATTTTGTTATTTTTGCAGGGGTAAAACGTGTTGTAGATGTATGTGCTCCGTCGGGTAGCTGGAGACAGGTATTGCTGATGAATTTATCACAGACCTGTCATATGATTTGTTCTCAATCATATAGCCACTTATGATTTAATAACTTATTTCATATTCAACTACTACTACCCCTCTTGCGACAAGCAGCTGATGTTGATGATGTTGAACGTCGTGTTTGGGAATATGTTCTGTTCCTGGCTACTCTTTAAATTGTATGCTGCGATCTGAATATGTCTCAACTTTCACTTAGTGAAATTTCCTTAAATGTTTGAAGATTGTGAAGTTTTGTAGTTTTCAAAGTGCACTTTCTTCTTTCCTCTTTTTTTATCTCTTGAACATGCGATATAGGTGCAGGAAAACCTGAGTTTGCTCCGGATGAAGATACACATGTCATTGGTGATTATATTAAGGTATACTTGTGATAAACAAAAGTGATGTTTTCTTCACGCGGCTCATACATATATTAACTTCCTATTTCTATAAATTTGCAGCATGTTATTCGGGGATTGCCATCTTCTCCGGTCCCTCCCTGCATCTTGTTGTAAGGCACTGTTAGAAGCTTGTCGTAAGTTTCATTTTAATGTTTCCATATTAATCTAATTTAATAGAAATCTAGGACCATACAATACAACCAAATACTTATGTCTTTTAATTAAATTCATTTTCCATGATTGTTGTCAAATGAAAAAGGTTTTCAAATTTTCTATCTATATTCTTGAAGTTTAACTTTCCATTGTTTAAAAATGGTGTTAGAGTTGCTTCGATGCGCGTAGCAATAAATGACACTTTCCCTGAAGCAAATCTCTGCAAGGATCTCACATTTGTTTAAGTTCATATTGAATAAAGTATTTTTTTCCGAAAGCTTGAGTGGGCCCAGTCTAAGACATCTCATAGGTGCCACCCATTGACTGTGACCAAGACTGCCCGCACCTGTCGGGCAATACCACCCTCTTGTCCTTCTGATCCAGCTCTGATCCAAGATGCCCGTCGAGCATCTTCTCAGTTTGCCCGACTCCAGCGTCGTGCAGACCACTAAGGACCGACCAGAGATATGTCCGCAACAATGCCTCCTCCCCGGAACCAACTGCTAGCTACGGACACATTTGTCCGATTTGACCAAGTCCTGACAGTTACCTGATTATTTGGACCCGCATATCTAGGCCGAAAATCAGGAACCAATGGCCACGCGCTAGGGGCAGTATATAAACCCTGTGAGGGTCAGGTATCACATACTCACTACTCACTACCTGATATTTTGCTAGTACCTTCTTGCTCCTGCTCTTACTTGATTGTTGGAGTACCTTGCAGGTACAACTTCCTATCTCCTCTGTTCGACTGAAGATCATCCTCCGGCCACTCTCTAGGTTCTGATCAACCGCAAGATCAGTGACGCCGTTTGTGGAAATCTGTTATCCCCGTCTTTCTTCCCTCAGAACCTAAGATCAAAGCAACTCTTCTTTCAAGATCCATCTCTCATATCATGGCCGACCATAATGATCTTTACCTGTCCGGAAATACCATCCTTTCGCCTGCTCGCAAGACTGATGGAAGCCAGGAACACCCTCGCCTTGAGGACAACCTGGGCTTCCGCGACGGACAAACAGTGTCCCCTGATTCTACTGATGTCGGTGTGGTGACGACCAACTCTTGGACGAAGGACGCTCTAAGAATCCTGCTGAGGAACTACCAGAAATCTTGCAACCGATTCCTATCTCTCTCAACGCTGACCCGGCCATGGCAGCACTGCTCGCTGCCTTAAATTAGACCAACACCCTCATCCTTCAACAAAATCAGAGAATAAGGGCCTTGGAAAACAGGCGTTCAAAATCTCCTCCCCAGAGAGCCCGAAGACGAAGTTCCCCCAGCGCATCACCACCCAGGCGTGGTCCACCGCCCAAAAAGGAAAGGCGCGACGTTTCTTTCTTCAAGAAACGCAATCGCACACCTCCTGCCTGAGATCAAGACTCCCCCTCGTTCAAGAAGAGGAGGGACAACAGGCAGATCGACCGCGCTCGATTGCCCTCTCCCGAGCCAAAGCAAAAACGAAGGAGCCCGTCCCCTCGACGGGACCACGACGACCGACGAGGGAGAAACTATCACTCTCCTTCTCCATCTCCCTTCCATAGTGAAGATGACGAGCCCCATGGCCCACTATCAAGGGAGATCACCGAAGCTCCACTTCCTGTTGGCCTAGAGTAGCCGCCCATTCTAGGGACCTACGACGACACAACGGACCCTAACGAGCACATCGAGAACAACGATGCGCTCCTCGACTACCAAGGGGTCAGAGGCGCCATCATATGCAGACTCTTCCCGACCACTCTCAGGAAAGGGGGCGATGACATGGTATAAAAGTCTGCCCGACGAATCCATCACCTCGTGGAAACAGCTCGGGAAGATGTTTTCAAGGCATTTCACTGCCTCCCGCCGACATCCTAAATCAGAAGCTTCGCTCAAAGCGATCATACAAGGCAGAGACGAATCTCTGCGAGCATACATTAAGCGCTTCAACAAAGAAGCGGTCCAGGTCCCGACAATAGACAACATGAAGAAATATCTGCTCGAGCGCGGGCTCCGTTCCCGCAGCGACTTTGCCAAGGCTGTGGGCATAGAAACACCAGCCACACTCGATTCCCTTCTCCTAAAGGCCCAGGCGTACATACAATACGAGGAGAAGGAGGCGGCCAACAACGCCCAGGAATTCAGGCACACGGAGAGTGCCAGACCCTCAAAGAATGACGAACCCTCGACATCTCGTCGAGGGGAGAAGAAACGGGAGGACAAGTCCCGTGATCCTAAAGACTACAAGGGGCCAGCCGGTCATTTCCATGACTATACCCCCTGACAACCTCGGGGGAGCATATTCTTTTCGAATGCACTAATTCTGAGTTCAAGCAAGCCGAGGTGCGCTTCCTCCGATAAACACCGTCGAAGCCAGTAATCGACAAAAGCAAGTACTGTAGGTTCCACAAGAGTCACGACCACAACATAGAAGATTACATTCACCTCAAGGATGCAATCGAAATACTAATCAGAGACGGGCACCTCAAGCATTATAAGAAGAAAGAGGCCGCTCGTGACGAAGCACCAGAGACAAAGAATGTCGAAGAAGGGAAGAAATCCCCCAACCTCGACACCATCTCGGTCGCCTTGAGCATCTCACAGCCGGAAGGCTTCTACTTTTCGGACATGGAGGACGTCCCCCTGTATTTCTCCACCCATAATCCGTGGGAATCCTTCCCCGCGGTCATGATCATTTCCGACGGAGGGTTCAACAGGCATACGGTCGAATCGATGAAGAGAAGGTTCGACCAACTCATCGAGGCCAACTCTGAGATGGACGCCACGCTCGACAAGTTTAGAGAAGGATCTCACCCCCTCACATTCTACAGGGAAGAGTTACCGGGAGGAGCCCCGAATTCGAGCATCCCACTACTCGTGAGAGCTCGGATGGCTAACTTTGACGTGCATCGCATTTTGGTCGACCAAGGCAGTTCGGTGGACATCATGTACGCTCAACTGTTCAACACTTTGCAGCTGAACGAGAGCCACCTAACCCCTTACATGGGTTCTGATCTTCAAGGTTTCAACGGGGCCAACACGAAGCCATGAGGGTACGTGGAGCTTACCGTCACTTTTGGCAGGGGATAACAGCCAGAGCCATCAAGACTTAATTCTTGGTGGTGAACTGTCCATCTCTCTACCAATGCATCTTCAGGAGACCCACTCTCGCCGAACTCATCGCGGTCCCCTCCACCGTTCATCTCAAGATGAAAATACTACACGACTGAAGGTTTGGTTGCCACTCTTCACGGGGACATCCAAGCAGCCAGGAGGTGCTTCGAAGCTTCTGCGAAGGGCCTCAGCTCCATCAACGCCCGACCTCGAACGACCACTGGAGCCATGCTGCCCTCCAGCTCTGAGGAATCCAAGCCGCTGCCGAGGGTCAACACTATTGACCTCAACAATCGCTTCTCCATGGAGGACATGGTCGAGCAAAGGAAGAAGGGGAATGAGCCTATGGTCCAAGACGAAGGGTCAACCTCCTCTGTTAGCCACAACGAGCTCTCAAGTCACGCACGACCTATCCCAGACGACGACTTCGAGCTGGTTCCCCTCGGAGAAGACCCCACCAGGGGAGTAAAGATCGGAGCGGACCTCCCCGACCTGGCGAAGAGGCAACTCAAAGCTTGCCTGCGGGAGAATGCTGATCTCTTTGCCTGGAGTGCGGTCGAGATGCCTAGTTTAGACCCTGAGGTCCGATGCCATCACTTGACCATTGATCCTACCTTCAAGGCGGTCGTGCAACGTAGAAGAAAGCAGTCGACCGAGAAGTCACAGGCTGCTGAATTAGCCGTAAAAGACCTTCTAGAGGCACATTTTATTTCTGAAGCCCAATACACAACCTGGCTCTCCAATGTAGTCCTCGTTAAAAAATTTAATGGAAAATGGCGAATGTGCATTGACTATACTGATCTCAACCGGGCTTTCTCGAAAGATGTTTATCCCCTCCCCAATATTGATAAAGTGGTCGACAATTCGGTCGATTTTAAACTGCTATCTTTCATGGACGCATACTCTGGTTACAACCTGATTCCCATGACAAAAACAGACAAAAAATATACCGCTTTCATGACTGAGTCGAGCAATTATTACTACAACGTAATGTCCTTCGGCCTGAAAAACACAGGCGTTACCTACCAACGCATGATGAACAAAGTCTTTTTCAACGAAATAGGCGAGATGCTCGAAGTCTACATGGACGACATGATCGTCAAGTCCACTGAAGAGCTCGACCATGCCGCCCATTTGAAAAAGGTGTTCGAGCAAGCCCGAAAGTGCCATATGCGATTCAACCCGGAAAAGTGCACCTTCGGCGTACGAGCAGGAAAGTTCCTCGGGTTCTATTTGACAGAACAAGGCATCGAGGCGAACCCCGACAAATGTCGGGCTTTCTCCGAATTTTTGATGCCCACCTCAAAGAAATCCATCCAGATCTTAAACGACATGCTCACTTCTCTTTCCCGATTCATGGCAAAATTCGTCCAGCACGCGCTCCCCTTGTTCAAACTCTTGCGCAAGGAAGCCACCTTCGAGTGGATGCCCGAATGCGAGCGAGCCCTCGCTCATTTGAAAAGAGCGCTCTCGTAGCCGCCCGTCTTATCCCGGCTCGGGAAAGACGAAGTCCTCTACCTTTATCTAGCTGTCGCCTCTGAGGCAATAAGCGCGTCACTAATAAGGGAAACCCCGGAGGGACAAAGGCCAATTTATTTCAGGAGCAAGGCTCGGAAGCAAGATATCAACAAATCGAGAAAGTAGCCCTGACCCTCATTAATGTTGCGAGGAGGCTAAGACATTACTTCCTGGCCTATACCATAGTGGTCCGGACGGATCAACCAATAAAACAGTTGCTCGGAAGGCCAGACATGACCAGTAAAATGCTGAAATGGTCTCTGGAACTCTTTGAATTCGATATCCAATACGAAAGCAGGAAAACCCTTAAGGCTCAAGCCTTGGCCGACTTCGTAGCAGAAATGACCTCGCCCGGAGATCCAGAAGGCTCACGCCGCTGGACGATCTTCGTCGACGGCGCCTCCAGTGCGACGGAAAGCGGCGCAAGCATCATACTAGAGAACGAGGAAGGGACCCTAGTCGAAGTTTCCCTCGCCCTGTCATTCCCGACCTCCAACAATCAAGCCGAATACAAGGCATTCCTCGCAGGCTTACGGTTAGCCGAAGATCTGGGAGCCGAGGAAGTAAAAATCTTCACCGA